CAAGAACTGATGCGTGAGCCACAGAGTTTCCGCAAGGTAGTCCACATCTCACGAAAGCTTTTGTTGAGCAAAACAGTCTCCAAGTACGTTCCGTTCAGGAGTCTTACTTCTGCTCTAATCAGAACAGAGGGCTCTTTAATACTGTTACACCTGCCGGCCGTATATGCCGTCTCTTTAGGACGACGAAGTCGANAGGACAGCATTGGTCATAGCAGAAATTAAGATAATCGATAAGGTGTTCACAAGAAGACAGATGGTTGTGAAAGAACACAGAAAAGTCAGTACAAGAAACTAAGTTCCGCAGTCGGGACAAGTTCTCAGGAGAACAATTTCTCTTCCGTAGCGTACGAGAGGTGGGTCGTGTATGAAGGCAATGATTAGTTTTACAATATATTTTGGGGTAAAGATGAATAGTATAGTGGTCAGAATTACTAATTGGGGCTCGTTTAAAAACGTGAAACATATTGGGACTATTTACATAAATGCCATCAAGCAAGGCATGATATGGGTGGGAAAATTGACAAGGTTCTCTAAGCCTAGAGCGACTAGAAAGGAGGTATCAAAGCAATTAAAGTCACCAGCGGTAATACATAAGGACTGGTCAATATAACTGGCGATTTTTGTCACTACAGTATCAGTCCTAAGTCGGGGATGAGTGTATCAGGGTCAATATAAATATTCACAAAGTAAATGAAGCGAAATCTGCTGAGAAAGCGGGGCTTGCAGCAAACAAAAGTACAGTTAATTTTACTTATTGAGTAGGAAAAATCAAACGAATGTTCTTACATTAACTTTGATTTACGAAAGTGACCACTCCGCCACCTCAGTTGCGAAATTTCACAATACGATCACTCCTGAAAATATCAAAGCCGTTTAATTCGATCGCGTTATCCTCAATATCTGGGTGTAGCCAGCTTCCTGGAGTGAAATAACTCCCACATATTTGCATTGTCTCTGGTGCACCAGGTTCTGGACCTCATCGATTTTTCCCACAAGTGAGCGAATGTTCCTCGAACAAATGGACGGAATTGTCATCCTGTTGATGGAACTTCGCCGGAGCGCAACCTGCCAGCCGGTGCGATGGTGACCTTGACGTTTATTTCTCAACCGTTTGTAACGGTTCCTCACGGAATGAGAAAAAGCTGAAATTCCAAATTCATTCGCGAAAACACAGAAAGATTTCATAAAGTAGAAGTCGTAGGTCAGCATTTGACCTTGAAAAATGGGTGAATTGATGTAAGTGTGTACGGTCAATGGTATCCACTGCAAAAAACGTAAATATTTGTCCAATTTCGGAAAGCAAAACCGAAATTCAAAGGCCCCGCCAACATTATTGTGGGTAATAACAGGTAATTTAGTCTCCATCGAAGTTGTTTTTTTTAGTTGGTGAGGAATTTGAGGTTTACCGGGGTTTCATCGAGTCTTCGCTTGAAATGTTCAGTAGTTGGTGCACAAACGACGTGAGATGGAAGGGTGTTCCAACAGCTGACTGCCAAATGTTGACACCGGCATCCCAGTCAACAATTTGGAATCAGTAACTTGAAACGATGTCCGCCAAGGTGTATATTGTTCTACAACGAGAGCAGCGGCCGAGATAGATGGTTTGGGTTCTTCAGTGTTTGATACGCCAAAATCAAGTCTCCTCGGTACTGAGCAGAATATAGTCCCAATGATCGTAATCTCTCCTCATAGGTGAGGTGGCGATCCTTTGTGGACGCTCCAGCATCTTACTATCATGTTGCAATCTTGGACTTCAATCTTGGATGGCTTACTCTGTGTACGTTGGCATGTACACTGATGGCAAACGTGGAAACAGTGCTAATTCAAACCTACCAAAGAATCGCTTAGACAAGCCGACATTCTTTATATCAGTGGATGAAGCCCTGGCGTAATCGATCAAGTAGCTTGAGTCCTTTTGAACACTTTTACCCAAAACCTTCCCACTTGAGATAGATGGCAGCTTCTGATTTCCGAGGAAATACTCTTGTAGCTTATGGAGATGACCATCCGTTTAGAAACATTGAATTCAGTGTCGTTCCCCGTAGACCATTGATAAACTGCGTTAAGTGTTTCTTGAAGTGTTATCTAGCCATCCAGTTCTGTTACCGTTTTCTGGATTCTGTCGTCTTCTGTAAATAGTATTGTTTTTGGCTCTGACACATTCGGTAGGTCATTTATGAATGCGATTGAAAGTCGGGGACCAAGTACAGACCTTTGTGGAACACCGCGGATGACGTTGATAGATCCGGATAGGGAATCAGAAAAACAAACTGATATGGTCCGTTGTTGGAGGAATGCTCTAATCCAATCAAGCACAAAACCGCGAATACCATAATTGTAGAGCTTCTGTAATAAAATTTGGTGATTCATCCTATCAAATGCTTTCGAGAAGTCGAGACAAATCAAATCTACCGCCTCCCGTTCGTCAACTATTATGGTCCATTCATCTTGAACAAAAAGCAGGTTGGTGGAATAGGATCACTGGTAGGAGGTTTACAGGCCGGTCCTGACAACCATCTTTGTATATAGGTGAAATAGCTCCTTTTTCCACGATTGTGTTGTTTGGTCCAATATTCGTTGGAATAAAATAACTAGTGATTTGGATATGATTTGCCAAAATAATAAGGGATTTCGGGTGTATATTGTCTACACCTAAGGTTACGTTTTTTCGCAAAGCCATTAGTTTTGCTTTGACGCTTTCAGCAGTAAGCAATACGTTGGTCAGCGAAAGATAGGGTAGCTGTAGACCTTCAACCTGTTCAAATACGGAATCTTAAGCATTTCATCGGCTTCTGTTGGGGTGGCTGCAAGTCTCCAAGCGCAGTTTAGTGCCGGTATACCAACCTTGGCTTTCCGATTTGAGTTAACGTGCTTAGGCAACAACTTGGAGTTAGAGATGAATCGTTGTGCTTGCACTTCTTGGTATATCAATGTATCCTCACGAATGAACCTGGTGCAGTGGTTTATCAGCATGCGATAATTATTCGACGTGACAACATCCGAAAGACGTTAATAATCTCACCAGAATAGATCCCCTGAGATATTCAGTTCCTCGTGCGGCTTCGAATAGGTGAATTTCGGATGCTGGATTTGTTTATAGTTCTGGTCTTAGTCACTAGTGTTATTAGGTTTGTAAGACTGTCACTACTACTAATAATAATAACATCTGGAAACCTAAGCCGTGGTCCCTGGAGCGAGGAAACCCCAAAAACCTCTAACATGATAGATGTGGCAATGAGCCGGCCGGCAGACAGCGAAGTTTTCTATCATCGGTACCTATTGAGTTTCACAAGGTCATGAAACCGAGATTGATGAAACTGCAGGCAAACCAATAGCGAAGGATGTACTGAACACAATTAACTGGTCTGTGTCAAAACTATTTCTTTGATCCCCGCTTGCATTCTGTCCCACCTACCCGACTGCTT